CTCCCCGTTCTTGTCCTCCAGCAGTTTGAGCAGCATGGACACCACCTTCCTCTCACTGTCCTCGTCCAGCTTAATGCTGTCTTTCTGCAGCTCCAGCATAAGGTCATTGGTGGCCATGAACCTGTTATTGCACACACACAATAACAGACACAGAGCAAGACGTGACAGTGAAACTGAGAATAGCTTGTATAGACGAGAGCTAAAGAAGTAAAAATTACCAGTGCAATAAATTGCTATCAATATGAATTACTGTTGCAAAGAAAAGTTATAATAATAAAGTTGGCAAAAAAAGGAATAAATGATCTGACAATGGGGATCAACAGAGTGAAATATACTTGACCATGTTGTGGGCTTTACCTAAATTGGTGACTATTACAGTTTCTTAATCTGTCAATTAGTTTAAGATGTATGAGGGGCGATATAAACATTATTTTCCAAAGCCCAAAACAGTGCCCTTGGAGAAACTTTTGTCACAAACCCCACAGCAGTTGGTTTGCTGACATGAAGGAGAAAAGAAAACATTACCAATGTCACCTGTAAAGGGTTTACTTAAGAGTGGTTTGACTCTTCAGTTAAGAGTAAGACAAGAGATGTTCATTCATTTGATAGTTTATAGCTTATTGCTAGATCAGTTGAAACTTCTTATGCTGAGGTTGTCTTATTTAAAATTTGTGAGTTTTTCTTATTTATTTATTTATTTTTAATTTTTCAATTTGCTAGTTGTGTTTATTTCTTAAGCAGAAAAAAACTAAAAACAGTTAACTGTCTTATGGCTTTATATCATTTTAAGTATTGCTTTGAGGTCATTGACTCGTCTATCCTGACATTATTGAGTGGATCTTAATTGATTACAGTACAGTCTGCAGTAGTTTAACTGTTGCTGTGTTTAAATACAATGTAAACACAGTGATAATTTCTCATAGTTGTTTAGAAATACTGTTATTGTGCTAGTTTTTCTTTACCATCATGAGAAAAATTGACATGGACAGAATTATGAAATTTCTCCTGAGTTAAATGTCTCTCATCATGAGTCATAGTGAAAAAGTGTCATCTCACTGTCAGACCACACACTGCCCATTAAAACTTCACTGTCTTACCTAAAGTCTTTGTCAGTTGATGTCATTTTCTCCAACAGGTTGGAGATGTGGTAAGACACACTCGACATCTTGAAACTTTGACAGCTGTCAACGACAAAATTAGAGTTTTACCACGACAAAATCATAAAAGTGGAGCGACAGATTTAACCCAACAACATGGCGAGACTGGAGGGGACAGAGTGGGACAGCCAACACAGGGAAACATGACACTTGGTGGGTTCAGTTAAAAATAGATGTGAGAACACAGGAGTTTTAGGTCAATGGCGCCACCCAGTGTACACTTACAGTCGTGCTAAAGCATTGTAGTTTAAAATCCTTTATAAAACACTATAATGACATTTTTTGTCGTGTAGGGTCATTTGTATTAAAAAAAAAAAACGTTAGCTGTCGAGCTTAACGTTTTGAGCGTCATCAGCTACGAGGGTAAATTTTGGACAATTACACAGTTGCATAATGATTAAAAAAGGATAAACTGTTGCTGTTTTGTGAATAATAATCTTGCTTTCGAACAGGCAAGTCCTCTTCTTATTCTTGTTTTCTTACTTTATTTTATTTCTATATAAAATGTCACTTTTTTATTTTATTTCAAACGTTTAACTGGAACGTCACCGTCTCTGACCCGTTGCATGCCGGGAGGGAGCGAGTGTTGTTGCCATGGAAACCGTCAACCTCTCGAAGCGTTAGCCGAAGTTTGTGAAAGTGTGTGACGGTTTTTAACGAAGACTTTCCCGAAATACCTCTGAGCAAGTGAGTGTGTGTGAGTGATTTTTAAGAGAAACTCTGTGATGAAGCTCCGAGATTATACCGACAAATAAACGACGAAAACGACGTAAAGTTTGGAGATTATACCGGCAAAAAAACGAAAGGAACTCGATGAAGTTTGGTTTAGCTGGATTAGTTCAACACAAACAAACCAAAAAACAAAAACACTTTGTGAAAGTTGATTCTGTGATTGTCGTTTATTAAGATTTTCCAAACTGAAGGTTATAGTTCTGTCAGCAGGAGCTCACTGATGTCTGATGAACTGGATCATGGAGTTATTATCTCCAATTTTATACATTTATTTTTTCTATTAATGTGAGAATTTAAAAAGTAAAAACTCATTAACATTGAAAGAGAGGATAACTGTGTCTCTGCTTTCCTTCTTCTTAGTGAATAAAAGGCCAAATGTTTTGTTTAATCAACTGCTGTTCAGTCGTAATGGTCATAATTTCAACATCAAATGGTTATTTCCATCGACTCACCAATACTTACTCTGGACAGCATACTGTCATGTTCAGAAGTATGAAAATATGGAATAGTCCTTCTTCTGTTATTGCAAGGTTAACCAGTAAACATGTGTTTAAAAAGAAGATGTACCAATATCTAATGACTCACTGTAATAAGAAACAGAACCCCTAGACTAGGCTGTGACAACATACAATACATAACAATGAGATTTTTTATTACTAGTACACTTATCTTGGCCTTTATTGGTGTTTGTTTTTATTGGAAATGTAATGTCATCATAATTGTTGTGATAGTTATGATTTTAACATCTTGCATATTTCTCCTGTTTGGACTTTTATCATTTTAATGTATATGAATGTTTACTGTCTTCTTGTGGACCCCAGGAAGAGTCGCTGATACTTAGGTAGTAGCAAATGGAGATCCAAATAGATGAGCAAATAACATTAATTTCATATATTTATTGTTGTGTTTTTATGTAATGATGGTTTATGTCGTGGAAGAGGAGATCGATAAAGTTCTTCTTCTTCCATTTCTGTTTCCACTCTTGATTAAAAAGCTTAAAATTACAGTGGATTTTTCTAAAGAACATTTTGTGGTTTGTCTACCTTTTCTGAACATTACCCCCTTCTAGTGAAAATATTTCAAACTCTCTAAATCACTAACTTTGACTATGTCTTTTGCTCCTAAATAGCTCCCCGTCCTAGATCCATCAAGAAGATCAAAAATGGCCTCTGCCCCACCAAGAGATTTTCTACTGAACTGCAAAGTCCAGGACAGTGAAGCCACATGTTTCAGAGACCTTTCAGGTAACATGGTCATGCCCCATGATCCCCAACGTGCCGTGATTTGTTTGATAGGTAATGAAATGTTCGGCTAAGACCTCAGACTTCATTCATCTCACCAGGGGCAATCGATTTACAATCAAGGATTACAGTTTTTATTCTATGTTTTTAGTAATGTTCTGGTCACAGTTACCTGCATAAGTTAATGTCAATGTGTTAATATTTCTTTCTGCTCACTGCCAACCAATCATCAGTTCAGAAGACTCATTTCACATGTTCTTAGGATGTTAATATGTCTGTTAGTCATATTAGGAAGGAATAAAAACATCAGATTTGTATATTGAAATTATTTTTACATCACCAACAATACAGCATACACCCATCCATCCATCCATCTTCACATCCTCACATTCTTCCCTGACTAGTGAATGAGACCCTGAGATACTTGAGCTCCTCCACTTCTGTGATAGATCTTAAATAAGCTTAAGTATTAAAAATTTAGGAACACTCGTGCATTACTTAAACATTAAGTAAAGATCCTCGACTCTTTCTGTGAAGCATTTCAAACATCTGTGAGCTATTTACATGTTGTCCTAGCAGGACTGCATGAGCTGCCTGAACCACAGGGGCCCAAGATCCTGCCAAGGCCTCCAGTCCAGGGTCATGATCCACAGGTGAGACTCGTAAAACGAAGATCAAACTGACATTTATGAAAATGTCTGACTGCTCCTAATTTCATGGAAGTACAGCGTCCTCAACACCGTCATTTAACTGCTCTATATAAATACTGTATGTCGATACTGTATGTAGATTCTGTACTTAGATATTGTATGTAGATATTGTATGTATATACTTTATATAGATTCTGTATGTAGAAACTGTATATAGATATTGTGTGTAGGTACTGTGTGTGGATATTGTATGTAGATTCTGTTTGTAGATGTTGTATGGAGATACTGTTTGTAGATACTGATGTAGATACCCAGATGTCAGCTTCTTCCTCCTGCTGTAGGCCATGCTGAGGAAAGTTCCCAGGACAAAGCCAAGTCTGGAACACCGGGAAACCCCGAAAAGGTTGATTTTTCTAGGCTGGGACACTCAGTCGCCCCCTGCTGTACAAACACAGCAGCAGCAGAGGCCGGTCCATCTACCTCCTTTACCATCTACAGTTAAAGCCAGACTGGAACAGAAAGCTAGTCAGCGACTGAGGTTTCCAGACCGGGGTGCTCAGTCTACTCTCTCTAGACCACCAGAGCAGCCACAGAGGTCTGTCCATCCACCTCCTCCACCCTCTACAACCAAGGTCAGTAACAAACACGACAAAGGACAGAATAATCGTACTTTAAACATTTAAACATTTTAAAGATAAAACTCAGAATCAAGCTAGCTTAGGGCTCGCTCTAACTCTGACAAGTGTGGATGAACTGTGTTGTAACCATAGACTGTAAATACTATGGACAACTTGGTTCTGCCTCCCGCAAGTATATGGATTTGAAGCCAAAAAGCTCTCTGTATTTCTGGGATTTTTCTTAATTTCCTGAAACCAACATTGCGCAGTAGTGTTGTGCGCATTCGGCGGGAGAGTCACCGAGAGTCGCTGTAATGACGCTCTACTCAAACAGCGTATCCACGGGTGAGCTACGCAATCCCCGAACGCCAACAGGCTGTATCAGGTGTCAATCATAGAAAACATGAACCCCCTAATAACTTTTAAAAACTTAGCTTCACAGAAAAAAAAGAGGACTTGAGCACAAACCAGTCTTACAGTAACTACATGTCAACATCGCAAGCAGGGGGGAGAAAAATTTATGTTCTGTGTAATAAATTTCTAAAGTTTGTCCACAGCCCCATAAGCTTTGCTGGAGAAGGCGGGATTTATGACCTATACTGCAGCCCATCAACAGAGGGTGCTGTTCTCTGAGTGGCTTCACCCAGTGAGGAGGCAGACGCCGTCCATTCTTTATACAGTCTATGGTTGTAGCACAGCAGGATGACACAGGAATGGTTCAATCACAAAAATGTGATTTTTGGAAAAGGATCATCTCATGTTTCCTTTGTGGTCCCACCTCTCCTCACTCCCCCCAGAAGGTCCTATTCGGAGTGGGTCGCTCCAGACGAACCTCTCCTGTTAGAGGAAGGAGAAGACTGGACCACTCATCCAAAGTTCAGGGCCATGAGTCCAGGAAGAAGGAGGATCGTTTTATGACCAGGGATGGAGAAGTGATAATACTAAATGAGAATGACTTCATCATCATGACTCCTGAGGACTTGGAGAAAGAGCAGATGCTCAGGAACATCCCTTTCTTCGCCAAATTCCAAACTTTGAAACCGTTCACCATCTGGCGTAACAATGTTCGAGCACTGAGGTTATCCAGGACCAAGAGGTTCCTCAAGAAGAACGTGCTTATCCTCAGCAAGGTCTGAATTTGATTTAGATTATCTTGAATATGCTGACTGAGAGGTTGATTGTAGATGTTAATGTCTCTATGAATCACACAGGCTCTGGGTCCAGGGCTAATGGAGATCCGGGGAATGTGTTACCAAATCAGTGAGACAGGCCTGTTTCACTTGGAGGAGAACCACACCTACTCTCTGCAGGAGTTCCAGTCCAAACAACTGCAGGAGGTCAACCCCACACTTACTGTTGATGGAGAGAAGTCTCAATATCTGGACATCAGGAAACTATTCACACGACTCTGTTTTTATTCACTGTTGTTTAGGTTTCAACGGACTTGAAGAAATTTCAGGCCCTCATAGAAGAGATGACAAGTCAAACCATCAGAAACTTCTGGTCAAAGGTTGAAGGTAAGTCCAGACCAGACCACAGCGTACTGGGATCCTGGATTTCTTTAGGACAACAGTCCTGAAAGCATGACGGTCTCCTCCCTTTGTCACAGATGCTGAAATCGAGAGCAGTAACGGGCTGAATATTACACAAAATTTCCATGTCAGCCGCCTGACATGGTTAGTACTGATTCTGTTTGTTTTAGTGAACGTTTGTAGCCCAAATATCTTCAGTTCATCTTTAAAACATGCTCAGTATTTTTTGGATCAGAGAAGATGGTTCAGTCAGAACAGCTGAACCTTCTAGACATGCACACTCAAAGGAAAACCTCCTGTGTGGTTTTAATCCAATCTGTTTTGGTTTGTCCAGCTTTATTCGCCTCGTGAAATACGTGGTCCTGAATACCTTGCACAATTTGGTGGTGAACACAGAGACCAGGCTGCTGTCTGAAGTCAGTGAGTGGGCTCATCGAACCTCTCACCACGCCATGAACCTGAGTCAGGCTGAGACTGAGACTGAGACTGAAGGAGAGGTGGAAGAACAGGTCAGTCATCTTCAATATCATCATCCAGGAAACAACTAAAACCACCAAACTGGTTTTCAAAGCTACCTTTGAACCTGGTTTTTGTTTGTCTGGTTTAGCCTTTCAGACCAGAGACTCCTACGGCTCAACCCATGTTCATGACCCAATTGATGCTGGACATGGATGGCCTGACCTTCAAACCCTCCGAGGAGGACTTCCTGGTTAGTCTGATTGATTTTAAACTTTTGATGTTTCATCCCTAACTTCTTCTGATGTAAACCAGATTTATGTGAAAAACCCAGAAGAGTTTCCTCTGAGGTCACAGAGGCGTGTCCGGATGAACCAATGCTGCGTTAGGAAAAAAGCAAAATTGGAGGCGGAAATAAGATGGCTACATCTACGAAAGTTTTTTTAGTGCCTATATATTAGATTCAGACAAGGCAAGCTAAAATAACTTTTGTATTGTAGCCATCTTGTTTCCGCCTGTGATTTCACTTTTTTTCTGACTTGGTAACTGAAACGCTGGGAACTCAGGTGTGACGTCATTTTCAGCTCCGACATCTGACTTCGGAGGTAACTTGAACACAGCATTTAACCTTTACACTCACGGTTCAGTCTGAACATCATCATGTTTGACTCTGAGGACCTCACACTATCATGAAATCAAACATGAGTGTTTGTGTCACTGGTGGACCTGGATCAGTTCTCTGTTTAGTCCCCTCAGCCAGTCCCCTCCTCTGCCAAATCCAGCTCCGTGTCTGTGGTCATACTTATCAACAAGTCAGTACTGATCCAGAACTTTACAAACCAACAGGTCTGGACCACTGGGGGGGAACACTTCCTGTGATAATGAGCGTTTTTAAAGAAGCTGCCCGCTCACTACCCTTTATAAGAGTTCATTAAGATCTTAGTTTGGCATGTAGGACTCTTTAAAGACCTTATTACTTTTAAAAAAAAACTCTTTTTTATTCGTTGTAATGAGTCACTGTTCGCACTTCAGATCCAGCTGCTAATTAATGTCACCTATAATTCTAATAAAGTTCAATCAATACTAATGAAGTTCTCTGAGTTTGTTACAAAATATGAAAATAATGTTGATTTATCTTTGAATAAAGTCTAATTACCGTTAATTAATCTGACTGAAGTTCAGTGTTGATATGAAGACTATCGTCCATGTAAATAACAGATTATAACTCTGTTTATTCCCTCAGGACACATTTTCAGAGATCTTTAGACTGTTGGAAGACTCAGCAGCATCAGTGAAAACTCTGTCAGCAGATCAGTGTCTTCATGAGACTCAGGCATCTTCAGAGGAGGTGAAGAAGATCCCCAAACACACAGACCCCCCAAAACACACAGACCCCTAAACACACAGACCCCAAAACACACAGACCTCAAACACACAGACCCTGAGTTTACAGACCCCCAAACACACAGACCCTGAGGTCTACAGACTCTGAGGTTTGTTTAGTCTGTTGGAGTCTGCGCCCCTCAGTCTGCTGCCCTGATAAACAGGATCACAAGGGCCACCACAGACTCTAGACCAGCCTCAGCACTGAGTCTGATCTCCTCAGCCCCCCTGATCTTCATGTTCTTCCCCCTCTGTGTTTTTCTACTCCAGACAACTGAAGGCAGATTTGAAGTGAGCCCTTATTTGAAGTCCTGTATCATGAATGATGTCCACCTCCGGAGAGTCCATCAGAACATAAAGGTCTGTTTATTTTCTTCACACCCATCTGGTTTTGATGAAGTGTGCTGAGAACTTCTGGGTCTGCCTTTTTCCCCTCAGGAGATCCTGCAGTCTGCCTTCAAAACAGCCAAAGAGTACTCACACACACTGGACCAGTTCTGGGTCTTCTATAAGGAGAACGAGAACCTGGACCTGGACCTGCTGCAGCAACAGGATCATGGTGACGTACTTCACATGAACGTGATTTTAGTTTCACACAAAGAGCAGCTAAAAGACCGAGGAGGAGGAGGAGGAGGAGGAGGAGGAGAGCTGGTTTCACTCTGAGACAGAGACTGTTGGAGAAGGGGGGGGCAGAATAGACTGATCTTCATTGTGTCGCACGGAAGTGTTCATAATGATGTGGAGAGAAGGGTACGGGTTTGTTCGCTAGGTTTCATTTTAATTTACCGTCTGAAGCCGAAGCAGAGAAACAGACGGTAAAGACTTGATCGTCTGAAACCAAAAAGATCTTCAAAATAACAAACATCTTCAAACATGATTCATCCTCTCTTTTCCAGGTTTGTCCTTTTTCCAAAGAACACTAAAGACATACCACAGCGAGCACCAGCAGACCTCCACCATCCAGCAGGAGAAACATCTGGGACTCCTGCTGGTGAACCAAGCAGAGTTCAGGGAGAAGATAGCGTCTTCTCCTCTACGCTGTCTGGAGGTGAGGATGACGTGATGTTTTTATTTTCATAAAACACAGAGGTGTGAGGAAAAGCTTCAAAGGTCAAACTCAGTCCAGGTGGAGCGTGAGGAAACATTTCGGCTTGCTGTCTCCGCTCCAGGTCATCAATAAGATGATTGTCAAAGCTGCGAGGAGTAAACTGGACGCCGTCAGGGCCGAGGTCTACGAGGCCGAGATTAAACTAGAGTCCAAGCCCTCCACCACAGCCGAGTTCGCCCACTACCTCACCTTCTTGAACCAGATTCAGGAGAGGGTAACGCACACACCAGAACCAGAACAGCAGTTGACCTGTCTGAGATGACATCTGTCCTGAGACTCTTTCTTCTTCTCTCTTCTCCATCGGTCTTTCTCTCACCAGATTGAGGTCCTAGAAGAGGAGCAGCAGACACTGTCTCAGATGTATGATCTGATAAACACCTACTCAGTCCACACGCCAGACCAGGATTTCGCGGAGTTTCGTGTCCTGAAGTCTTCCATGACCTCCTTGCAGAACATCATGTGTAGAGCGGCTCTCCGTCGAGACTCCATGATGGACTCCTTCTGTAAGTCTCTGAAGAAAGACGTGAAGCAGCTGAACCAGGAGGTCATGGAAACCAAACTCAAGTCCTGGGTATGTCAGGAGAGGTTCTCCTCTTGGTTCTGAAGAAGGGCCTCTGATCTGTTGACTGTTTCTTTATCCTGCTGATTTTGACCGACAGGATCCACAAATCCTGGACATCAGTGCAGACCGCTCCAGAGTCCGCCTGCTGCTGGGAGAGATCCAGATTCTGATTGATGAGCTGCAAGACCGAGCCTCCACCTATACCTCCTACCAGAAGCTGTTTAAGGTGGAGCACGTGTTCCAGATAATAACCCTCAAGAAACAAGATGGAGGTTTTAGATCAAAGTCCAGAAGTTTCAGGTTTTTGACTTCCCCCTTTCACTTCAGCTGCAGATGATGAAGTCAGACAGTCTGGACGAGTTGATCTCAGAGTTCAGACTCAAACAGCTGCTGTGGGAGCGAATGGAGGAGTGGGACACTCTAGAAGAAAGGTGTAAACAGGTGAGGAGTGTCCACAGGAACCTGAAATCAGCTCTTCCTCTCCTCTAAGTCTGACTGTACCCATTCATGTTCCACTGTCTCCAGAGCACACTCCAGAACCTGGACCTGGAGGACTGGAGAACCCAGGTCAACAAATACAGCATGTGTGTCAATCAGCTGGAGAAGGACTTACCCCGCAACAGTGTGGTAGAAGGTCTCAGGAACAAGGTGGAGGTCACCAATCAGAAGGTGGGCCAGATTTATTTAGCTCCTTTCGTGGTCGAATAACCTCCATGTCTAAATCTGATCAAATCTGGACGTCTTCTTCTTCTTTGTGGGTTTCTCCTCAGCTGCCTGTGATTGCTGATCTTAGTAACCCCTGTATGAAACCAGAACACTGGAGGACCCTGGAGTCTGTTGTGGGGACTTCCCTGAAGGTGGAGGAGCTCACGCTGGCTTCCATGGAGGAGATGGGCTTCTTCAACCACAGCGTGGAAATCCAGCAGGTAACACGAAAGTGTCTGAACAAGGTTACAGGAACATTCAAAAAACACTCTGCTAAAATGTGTGACACTAACCTTTGACCTTTGACCTTCAGCTCTCAGCTCAGGCTACAGGAGAGGCATCAGCCGAGCTCACCATCACTAAGGTCAGCAGCTAACCACAGAGGTCACCTTTGTTGAAGCGGTCCAGTGTCGTTCAGTCCTGTTGAACAAATGCCTCCATCTCTCTACAGGTGGAGGATCTGTGGTGGAGCACAGAGTTCAGTGTGGTTCCTTATCGAGACTCCAATGATGTCTTTGTGTTAGAAGGTGCAGAAGAAATCCAGGTGGGAGCGTAACCTCCAATTTCCACCGCATCCTGAACGTCTACGAAAAGGCCGTATCCTCCAATCGTAGCTGATTGTAACCATTCAAGTTGATGTGTCAATTTCCACCAACTTCTTTGCGTTCCTCTGCGGATCACCGGACTCCACAGCTGATCGCAAGAGTTCGATTTTTTCCGTACGCCGGAGAATGCCGGATAAATTCAGCACAGATTAACCCGTGCTGGAAAGGAAGTCGAGCGCAGATACAAATTAAACATCTGGCTTCTTTTCAAAATAAAGCACTGCGTGTTTCAGGCAGATGTATTTCACACCATGCAAACGGGCGGGGGCGAACAAGTGAAAGGTTTTTAGACGTTATTTGACCCCGATGGCACCATAGATGAGGAGATGCTGATTCTAGAAGTCTAGAAGTAAATTATTTTCTCCTCTGGAAGGACACAATCTACTGCTTGTATGTCTATGTGGCTGTCTTTAGATAGACAACTCGTTATTGCGCGATTGCACGTGAATCCGTGGGTTCTTGTGAGTTCTCGCGCTTCCTGCTGTCCGTTGTCTGCCACGAAATTTGCCTAACCAACGGATCTGGTAGGAATTGGCCAAGGGCGAAAATCGCAGCCGTTCTGGATGTGATGAGAATTAGGGGTAAACTTCACACATGTAACAGTCTGTTGTAACACGCTAAAAGGTCATGGTCCATCTCATTCTCTGTGTCGTGTTACACAAAGGTCCTTTTGGACGACAGCATCACCAGTGTGAGCTCTGTGGCATCTTCAGCTTACGTGGCTCCTGTGAAGCTCAGGGTGGACAGACTGCTGAGACAGTTGCCCCTCTTCAAACAAACACTGGTAAAGTCTGCAGAGACACACAAAATGGGAATATGAAGACAACCATCTTTATTACAGCCAGTGGAGAGGAGGAGTGTGTGTGCACCCAAGCATTGATCAGAGGACAATCGTCCTTCTTCTTCTTCTTCTTCTTCTTCTATAGTCTTTGTTCATCGCCCTGCTTTTTGTCCCCAGGACGAGTGGATGCGGTTTCAAAGGAACTGGATTCACCTCGAGAGCGTCTTCTTGGCCCCGGACTCTGAGAGGGAAAGGCCGGTCCAGTTGGAGGAGTTTCTGGAGGTGGACAGTTTTTGGAAGGAGATGATGTCGAAGGTCAAGAGGATTCCCAACGCATTAAGAGCCGCTACTCAGCCTCGTAGGTGGAGCTGAAGAGAAAAGTCGAAACCAGGCAGGAAGTTCCTGGACGATCACTCAGAAATCTTAACTTCCAAGTGTTTTGTCTTCTGATGTGCAGGTCTTCTGAGGACGTTCCAGTTAAATAACTCTCTTCTGGAGGAGATACAGAAACATCTGGAAGCAAGAGACGGGCACGAGTCACTTTCTGAGGCTCAAGACCCTGAGGGGCAGGTCCAAGATGAGGCGCAAGTCTCCAAGTGAAGCAGCAAGTCCCAGACAAGTCCTTCATGGTGTCAACACCTAAACTAAAGTAGAATTGTAAGGTTGCAGGACGGAGCGCTTCATTGTTGCATGTGTAAAAACTGTTTTGGTTGAAGGTCGATCCTGATTTCTCTTGACAGTCCGATAAATCAGCTGTTTATTTTGTGAGTGGCGTCTGACATTTAATAAAATGTTTTTGTCTTTCCAAATACTTCTGGGTTTCATTAAATGTTTTTCTTTTTTAATTTCGCTGGTTTAGTTCTTTCAAATTTCCTGAAATATTTTGAAATTCAGTCAGATGTTTTTCTAATTTATGTAATATGTTTCTGTAGAGTCACCCTTTAGGGCCACCGTACAATCCAAAGCCAAAACTCTGAACCGTGTCTGATGTGGATCACTTTGAGTCTGCAGACTTTTTACAACATGGTGTCAGATTTTTTAAAATCTTGAATCTGTTTTCTTAAATTGTAATAATGAAGTTTCAATTCTTTTTCACCTCTAAAACCACAACAGGCTGCGTCCTGATCCAAAACCACCACACTTAGGCTGTGTCCGAAATGGATCCCTAACCCCTGTATAGGCAACTATATGGGGGTTAGCGCCATTTTGAGGGGTGTCCGAAACCTGAGTAATCAATTCTAATGCCCCATATAGGCAACTCAAAATTTCCCATAAAGCATTGCAAAATGTAGTTCGCACTGACAGAAACGTAAGAAAACATTTGAAGTGGTCATTCATTTTATTTGAGACAATTGAAAATGGCAGATTTTTGTTTGTTTTTCTATTTAACAAACAAAAATCACTTTTTGGACTAACTCGGCAGACAACACGAAGACTGTGTGTCTGAGATAAACATTCAATATTATTGAATTAATTAGTTTACAGTTTTCTTTGCTGAGGTTTGCCAAACAAACTCAAAAGTAGGAGTGAGTTTCAGTCTGTAGAATATGAACAATAATCTGAGGATTGATGAACTGCAGAGAGACAGATCTGTGCAGTGTCCCTGGACTGAAATGCCTCATATACCAGAAAGATGAACCACAGTGAGCTGCTCTGGTCCCCACTTCTTTTTAGCCTGGCTGGGCCATCCAGTTGCGTGAATCACTGGATGGCCCAGCCAGGCAAACTTCTTTTAACACCCACACCTGCTCCAGAGCACTCTCACTAAGTGTGACACCCCCAAACCAGAACTGTGGTCTCGGGGTCTTAGAGCGAATCCAGTTAGAGATGACTGATTGCTTGCTGCTTCATTAAACTAATTAGATACAAAAAATCCTGTGTGATATATCCAAACTGATGTAAATCATTTATCAGTGACGGAGGCAAAAGACAACAAACACTAAAAAACAATGTAAATCACAAATAAACTGAAATGAAGATGTAAATGTTTCACTTTTATTTTTTATTTGATTTCATATTTTTGTAAATATCTCCAATTGTTCATCTGTAACATATCAAACATGTACATGACAGCTGTATATAACACTCATATATATATCATATTTAACTCTAAATTTCTTCATCCTTTAATTTCTCTTTTTGTATTTATATGCTGCTGAAATTTGAATTATACCCCTGTGGGAATAACAAAGGAATGTCTTGTCTTATTTTAAAGAAAGCATTGTTACAGTCAGAGAAATTGTTTTATTAGAGTCATGGTGTAGATGAAGCTTTACATTTTTATTATTTTAGAATAATCTGATATCTTAATCTTCATTTGTTTAAGGGATAGATTAAATTATTAGATTTCAGATTTATTATGATCATTCAGCCAGTTTGAGCTCTTTTCTTGTATCAAAATTACGAAGCAGTAAGAAGTAAACTAAACAAAGAGGTATGAAGGTGAAAACAGATGATTATTCTTAATTATTGTTTTTATAAGACTGCATAGACTCAGATTAACACTCATGTTCAGCCGTAAATTCGACGTATTAAATTAAATTAAATTAATAATCCGTTGTTTTTGTTTTTATTCAACAAGAAAATCTTTGAATTATGAGACAACTTGGTTTATTTGTTTACAAATTAATCAATAAATAAATAAACCGCTCAGACTGTTTTTTGAATGGATGTAACAATTATCCTGGAATTAAGGAAATGATATTTTTTCTTAATAAATTTAATTTCCTAAATTTATCCTTATGAAAACATCTAATGAAAAACACTTACTCTGAGTTTTTGAATAAACCAAATTATTATCTACGAATTAAAGAAGAGCTTTTTATGTCTGTCTGTCTGTCTGTCCGTTATTTTTTTTTTCCCACAACAGTTTGGTATGTGGAACCTTTGCTCCTCGTTTGACGTTTCTGCCGGTAGAAGAGATCGCCGTAGTCCGTCGGAGGGAAGCGGCTCTTACGCTTGTTGCCACGTCGGAGTAGCTGGCCCGGCTGGGATATTCATTCAATATAAAGATTGTATTTTAGACACGGATAGTGTGTTTCTAGTTCACCTGTAATCATGGTGAGTGTTTTTACTGTCTAATTGTGATTTAGCTACCTGCTAATGTTTGTGTTGTTAAATGTTGACCGTTGGTTGCTGACGTTTCCAAACAGCTAGCTTATTAGCAAACATGGCTAACGACTGTTAGCTCGTTTCTAAAGCAGTAGTGAATGTTTTTACGCTGTTTCGTTGTAATTGTGTTTTAAATGTTTACTTGTGTTTCTCAGGTTTCCGTTATCAACACTGTGGACACCTCCCATGAGGACATGATTGTAAGTATTGCTTTCCCGACAGACCAGACGGTGGCTCGTAGATATAGTTCATGTTAGCATTTAGAAGTTGGGTCTATTGGAGTTAAGGTAACAGAACAAAACCAGCATATGTGAATTTAAAACCTCCACGCTATATGCTTGACATGGTGAAATTTGGGTCAGGTTCAGGCAAAGCTCAGGGAAACAATCGACTTAGCACTACTTCAGAAAGCTCACATACTGACTGCTGGTGTTATGTATATATAATGTGTTGGCATATAAATTTACATTGACACTGACATGCTCTTAAAGCTTTTGAGCCTTAAAGAAATTACAACATAACTGAGCAGCAGACATATTGCATTGAGCAGTGGTTCACAACTTATCTCACTCTGGGACCCACATTTTCCTATGGTCCTTAAGTCGCGACCCACATTTATAGAATTCAAATCAAGCAAATTTATATATATATATATATATATATATATAATCTTTAACATAAGTCCACTTGTTTTATTGAGTAAAGTGCATTCAGAGCACACAACTACTGAAGTTGCACATACAGATAATATTGAATATCTTCTAAATATCGCCTTTAATATTTACTTTTTTGACTGTTTGTGACCCATCCAGAATGTGTCCGCAACCCACTTTTGGGTCGGGACCCACCATTTAAGAACCACTGGCATACAGCAGTGGTTCTTAAGTCCAGTCCTCGAGGCCCACTGTCCTGCATGTTTTGGATGTTTCCCTGCTCCAACACACCTGATTCAAATGATCAGCTCGTTATCAAGCTCTGTAATGGCTTAATAACGAGCTGATCATTTGAATCAGGTGTGTTAGAGCAGGGAAACAACCAAAACATGCAGGACAGTGGGCCTCGAGGACTGGATTTGAGGACCACTGGAATAGAGTATTGCAGGTTTATTGAAGGACACTTACCAAGTTTGGTCTCGGTAAACCGACCCTTACTCATGTACAACCCCAAATCCAAAAATTAATGAAACAATGCTTTCCATTAGTGGTGCAACGGATCACAACACTCACGGATCGGATCGTTCCTCGGATCAAGAGTCACGGATCGGATCATTTTTCGGATCAGCAAAAAGCAGTTTTGTCTGTATATTAAACACTTAAATGGTTGAATTAAAATATATAAAAGTAGTGCATACGGCATAATATCTTCTTTTCAACATAATTATTAATGAAAAACAACTTAAAGTGCAATATATAGGCATATCTCCTTCCTTTAAAATGTAACAATGAACCAAAAATGAAGTATGTGCGCGGTGGGATATTGTAACGTGGCCCAAGCACTTTCAGCATGTTTTTAAAGCCCTCGTTTGCACAACTGAATATGGCCTCATGTCTGTAGCTATAAACACACCGATAGCGTTTGTGATAGCTTTAACCCGGTCGGATTGCGCAGGAAGAGGCTGCTTAAATGCTGCGGTGATGAGTGGTTGCTGGCCAGCTTTCGTTTTATCTCAGGTGTTGTGACATAGAATGCACCCCTGCCGTAGAATGCACCCCCTGACGGGAGCGCGGTTTAAAGTACATAACGAGGCGAAATAATCCAAGTTTTTCTTACATTGGATGGATTCAAAAGCGTTTGCCTGTAATAATTTCATTCAGGCTATTCAAAGAAGCCAAAAACAACAGCCCTTGGAATATTGCTGTCCCGAAAATATAATGCTCTCCACCTGGACAGCTTTCTGTACAGTTTATTCCCAAGTACACCTCTATATTTGCATTTTTGAGACACATAAAAAGAAAATGAAAGTTTGCTGCTCCATTTGACATGTTGTCATGATCTAATACTCGTGTTTCTTTAAATATGAGATCATTATCTCCATTTTAAGAAGCTAACGAGTGGAGGGGATGCAGGGGTGCGTTCTACGGCAGGGGTGCAGTCTACGGCACAACACCTGTCATTAAAACACCCGGGTGATGTCGCTTTCAAATGCGTGAACATACTCGATGTGTTTCCACTGTCATATGGCTTTCTTATGCCAAAGTGCCTACACACCTTCGCAGTTTTGTCCACTGACCTCTTTCCTTCCTCATCATAGTTGACAGGGAAGCCAAATTTTTTTTTTCAGAAATCGAACCGCGGGTAACGTGTGTGCCGAACCGATGACGTCGATCCGAACGGATCACGGATCAATGATGATCCGTTGCACCACTACTTTCCATGCTTATAAAAACAGATTTTGATGTTCTACAAATCATTCAAACCCTACATCTCCCTGAAAACAGTGAGGGGTGTTTAAAACCAAACAGTTGTTCATGGTAGTTAAAGGGATATTCCGGTGTAAAATTAATTTAGGGTCAAACACATCATAACACCGAGTTAAACACCCCCTTGAGAGATGACTGTTGCAGACCGCTTACTTTTCTAGTTATACCAACTTTATTAATGACAGTCGGATTGTAATACACAGCGGTCTGAGGAGACATAAACAAACCTCAACCGAAAAGCCACTCTATAGCCACAAATAATGCTCAGAACAGCACCTAACTTCTAGCCTGGCTGGGCCATCCTGTTGCGTGAATCACTTGCCGTTCTTTCCCACAACAGTCTGGACTTCGGCCCATTGGGAGCGTGTATTCCCTATCACAAAATAACCGGGCCAATCAGAGACCGTGTTTCCACTGTTACCCAACAAAGTCGGCAGAAAATGTTTAGATCCGCAGAAGACGTCGGATATAAACGATTTCTGCTGACTTTGCAGAGTGAACTGCAGAATTAACAGCGTTCTGAATGAACGGGGCTTTGAAAAGTCCCACAGCATGTGTTAGACGTCACCATCTACACATGGACCAATCAGGGGCTGCCTTTCCCTGTTGTCCGGGTAACAGTGGAAACACGGTCTCTGATTGGCCCTGAACAGCTGTTGAACAGTTGACATCTTGTAATAAGAATGGGACAACATTTTACTTTCCAAACTCCTGAAACTAGTCTGCTGAGTTCACTAACATCTACAGAGTGTTGATGAAAGGAAGATCTGATGATACAAGATGGAAAACACCACAGAGGCTAAACTTATCTAAAAAAATTAAGTCACATCAAGTTTAAAATAAGCATGTCTTTTTCATAAAAAACATAAAAATTCTCATTTTCAGTGTAAGGATCTGCTAAATGTTGTGTATCACGGTGAACAAGTATTTCGTCATACCCTACCTTTCAATCCCCTTGTTGTGATTTACTCTTTTTACTCTGATTAACCAAGCAAACCGTGACACCCACCATAATTAAGATGTATGTAAAACCAGTTCCAAACAAGTCCTTCAGAGCTCCTTCAGTTTTCAACCTGAGGACAGTCCTCTACCAAACTGCATCATATTTACAGTATGGCCTCAAGTAAGGTTAATCCTGTTGAACTGGGAGGAAGCTTCACCTGAAAGCCACCCCACCAATACAATCTTAGATTTTCCTCTTTTACTTGCAGTGACCTCGTGGAGGTTTAGAGGTAATATATGAAGTTTTTATTCTGCTCAGTTTTTTCCTCATGTCTTTTCTTGTTTGCATTTTTTTCCAGCATGATGCTCAGATGGACTACTATGGCACTCGACTGGCCACCTGCTCCTCTGACAGAACAGTGAAGATCTTCGATGTCAGAAATGGAGGGCAGATACTTGTAGCAGACCTCAGAGGGTAAGACACTAAAGGTCCATGACCAAACCTCAGAGCTGAAGCTAAACATAGATTGATGAGCGGTTAATTTATGTCAGTGTTGGGCAAGCTACTTAGAAAATATAGTGAGCTAAGCTACAGGTTATTCTACATTAAATGAAGCCTCCTACACTGAAGCTACCCACCCGAGAAATGTAGCGAGCTAAGCTACAATAAAATGACAAAAGTAGCTTAACTACATCAAAGTTTCTTTTCTTTTTTTTTTTTACATCAAACTTACTTCATTACAAGTCATTGCAATCTAGTGATCAATGAAGCTGTGAGACAAACAGATCAGATCAGTTTGATTGTTTATTAAACTCTTCTCTCTCTCAGCAAAACCAGTACTTACAAGGGCCCGACCGATTTATCAGCGAGCCGATTAAATCGCTAAACCAATTTTTGCCCGTTTGAGACTAATTGGTAATTGCTTTTCTGGTCCAAGTTTGATTCATGATAAATTCATGATACATACGTGGAAAATTACTGAGATTAATATTACTGAGAAGTGTTTTAACTTCATAAAAAATTTAAAATAGAATTTTTCTTCTCCCTAATAATCGGTATCGGCATTAGTCCCAAAAAATCAATATCGGTCGGGCCCTAATACTTACATAATCACAGCAACAACAAAAAAAAAAAACAGGTGTTGCATATGTGTGTGTGACTGTCTTCATTTATGATGATGCACACACACATAACGTTTTTCTTTCGCTTCCAAATGACAAGTTGCCGGCTCGTGCTATGTTAGCTGTTGATGTTTGCTGGCTGAGTTGTGACGACTAGCTTAGCTGGTGATTGTGTTAACTTCAGGAAATACCTGAATGTGTGTCCTTAAATTTGCGTTGGACGTCTTGGATGTTGACAGGAGCTTCCTCTTGGGGTTGCACAGTAAACATCGGGATGTATAACTGCTCTGTGAGGTCTTGATTTGTGACATGAACTTGTTGAGATATGGTCATGGGGATTCACGAGGTGAAGACAGCTCTGCCTCTGCCTCCTCCCCTTACATTGTCTTCAGCTGTGCGCTTTCCATCCTAGCAGCATCAGACAACTCTCGCATGTATCTTTTAATACACAGTCTAGGACACGCATCAGCAGGACGATAGGTACGTGACATTACACGGGAGAGATGCATTTACCCCGGTACTTTGCCACGAAATCAGCTTCACTACTGAAAAGCTATTTGATGTAGAAAACAACGACAATACAACCACGCTACTGAGAAATGTAGTTAAACAAACCGCTACTTGCACTACTGCCCAACACTGGTTTATGTTCCATGTGTCACACAAATAATCTGCGTTTAGCAAATGGTATTAAAATCAGCTGTAATGATTGTATTTGTTTGTGTGCTGTGACTCCACTACCAGTTGTTTTGTCAGGTTTTGCCCTTTAGAAATACTGAAAATTAAAAACAGCACACTAAATAAATAAAAAAAAAGGCCGCGATGTGCAACCACACTTGCCCTTCCACAGTTGTTGTATTTATATCAAACCTAAATCTGAGTCTCTGTACTTGTGCAGTCATGAAGGCCCGGTGTGGCAGGTAGCGTGGGCTCATCCAATGTTTGGCAACATCCTGGCGTCATGTTCCTACGACCGTAAAGTCATCATCTGGAAGGAGGAGAACGGTACCTGGGACAAGATGTATGAATACAACGGACATGAATCATCAGGTGGGTACCTCTATGCGTGTCCAGGTGAATTAATGCACAGCAGTTTATGTGAAACTCCATCTGTATTTCCACCATTCAGAGCCTTTTTTTTTTCCCCTGATCTCTTTGGTCTGTTTTTAGATCCTCATAAAGTTCTCACTCTTCCCTCCCTACAGATTAGAACAGTTCGATCTGGCTTTGATATTTTAGTTTTAACTACCGAATAGTGTTAAAGATTTTCACAGGACTTCGCCTCATGAGACCCTGGTCTTGTTTTTTGACTTCACTTCTGTGTGACTCCAGTAAACTCTGTCTGCTGGGGTCCGTATGAGTTTGGTCTGATCCTGGCCTGTGGGAGCTCAGACGGAGCGATTTCTCTCCTCACATTTACCGGGGATCAGCAGTGGGACGTGAAAAAGATCAGCAACGCACACACAGTGAGTTAAAGTTGAAGTCTTACTCTTAAGTGTGATTTCTATTCAGACTTGAAAATCTGTTCTTGCTTTCTTTGCTTCACTTATTCACTCTCTGTTGTTCTGACTTCATTTTTACCGCCTAATGTGCAGTGTTGTTCTCCAAGCCAACCTTATTTGTAAATTCGTTCCAGATCGGCTGTAACGCAGTGAGTTGGGCTCCTGCTGTGGTTCCCGGCAGTCTGATTGATCAACCCTCAGGACAAAAACCAAACTACGTCAAACGCTTTGTCTCAGGAGGATGTGACAACCTGGTCAAACTCTGGAAGTAGGTTCTTGTTTGATTAACTTGCTGTGGCGTCCTTTGTTCTTTACGGTTGTTTCTTTTTAACTGATGCTGATTGTCTCTCGTCACATCCCCAGAGAGGAGGACGGTCAGTGGAAGGAGGACCAGAAGCTTGAGGCTCACAGTGATTGGGTGAGAGACGTGGGCTGGGCTCCTTCTATTGGTCTGCCCACCAGCACCATCGCCAGCTGTTCTCAGGTGAGATGTAACTAAATTAAGTTGGATTTGTCCACACAATAGACCCAAGTTGATCAAATCAACAGTTAAATTTTTAACATGTGATCCTGCACCAGCTCTGAGTAAGTTGGAAAGTAATTTCTTATTTCAGGTGAAATTTACACTCTGCATAAACACAAGTTACAACTTAAATCTTACAGAGAGAGGTGAAGTCCTCTGTAAAAAACTGCTCGTCAGGGACATTGATAAATGTGGAGGATGAGCAGAAGAACAGCCAACAGCTAGCACTGTGTTCTCAGCCATAGATTACATTAATTAAAGATGAATAATAGCTTTGAATTGTATTCTTGCTCTTTTTCCATGATGGGAGATCATCTAATCAATACAACAATAGAGTATGGATACAGAGAGTTCAGTGACTCTGTGTCACGACTAAAGGTCCTTAAACACCGGGGCCAACGCGAATAAAGAACGCAGGATTACGAAATATTCGGAGGAGAATTTTGATGCGCCTGACTATACACATCAAGCCCGATGCGATTTTGCAACTTTCCAGGGGGAAAAAGACGCATCCCGGGTGGAAGCGAGAAGACTGACACAACAGCAGACTGAGTGTTTTTCAGTTCTGATTAGACACTAGTGTTGAGATGTCTGTCTGTCATGATAGCATGTACTGAGTCGGGGCCAGTACCAGATAAGCACATTAAACTATAATCCATAAACGTAAGGTAACAACCCAGACCTAATGATGCTGTGACAGCAACACGATTGAGTTTGAGACAGTGAAAATACATATGGTATGTTGTATCTGAACAGGTTAGCTTACGAGCTAAAGTTACTTAGCACAGATGAAAGTTAAAACAAAGACGTTTAGCAAACTGTTAAAGCACACAAACCATCGTCATATGAGAAATCTGACGCTATGACTCTCCACAAGTTGTCCTTCAGGTCGTTATCTTTGTAACGTTTGTGTCTTTTATCAAAAAGTACTCTGTTCTCTGACATGTAAACAATCAGCAAGTCGGCCATGTTGGAAATACCGGTGAATCAGACGTCGCAACAACACAGGTCAGAAGTGGACACACAGTATGCGAAACTTTAGAAAAATCGACCATGATCCGAAAAAATAAATGCTGCAATATCGCAGGACGGGAAAACGTTGCTGATGTGAACGCTTGTATTGACAGGATACGGGTTTGAAAAAAACAGAATCTGGAACGGCTCCGCTCCAGCCCGGGACGGCAGGCGGATCAAATACACAAGCATTATAATCAATATGTGTGATTACACACAATCCGTCCACTGCGGAATGGCTCCGACGGCCGGATCAGATACGCATTGCTTCTATTTTTGCGGGACGCCGCAGCAGCACGGTGCATCAATTCAGTGCAGCGCAGCACGAGCAGCAGCTACAGAGTAAAATATTCAGTTAATTTTCAAAATAAAATGAGGTCAATACGTTGACTGGTGATTGACTTAATAATAGGAGAGGCCGGGGTTGTTGGATGTAGGTGTTTATATACATCGACCGGCGGATCTCATCCAATGTCTCACGGGGAAACACGCAAGAGTCTTGTGAGAAATATCGGTAATCTCGCAAGCGCTTCTCCTCTGATGGTGAAGGCGGATCGGATCAGGTTGGCGCTGTATGCTTGCGTATTTGATCCACCTACCGGTCCGAAGTGGATCAGAGCCATTCCGGATCCAGTGGAATCCCCGGGTCAGTGTTAGTTTTGTTTCCTCTCACTGTTCTTCCTCTACTATGACCATTTGCGTACACAGCACATCTGTCAGTCATCTTGATCTAACCTAATTGATGACATGAAATAAACGAATTGTCATGGACATAAATCAGCATGATTTTAACCACTTGCAAAAACAGGAGCCCTGTCTGAGAAACATTGATTTGACTTGTAATTTGATTTTGTCGTTTGACCCATGTCCCATCTGTTGACATGGAGGAGGCAGACTCTGTGACTGTCAGTGCAGCCAGGCAGTAGGAGGAGCTTTATTGTTTTGACTTCACTTTTACTGAGCTGTTTTTTTCCTCCTGCCTGACTTTAATGAATAGAAGCTAACACAGCCCACTTTGTTTCAAGTCAACAGAGTAAATGTGAGAGCATGTTTTGCTGTGCTGTTTTGTCAGTGTGTCTTTGTCACTTTCTCGTAGGACGGTCGTGTGTACATCTGGACGTGTGACGACCCTGCAGGAAACACGTGGAACGCCAAACTTCTCCATAAGTTCAACGACGTGGTTTGGCACGTCAGCTGGTCCATCACTGGAAACATCCTGGCTGTTTCAGGAGGAGACAATAAGGTAGAGCTCAAGAGTTGACATGCAGTACATCATTTAATGTACCTGCCTGTTTGTTTATCTGATTTCTTTTTAAAAAGCATCAGAGTTTCCAGTAATGTTTTATTTTTGCACATTTTGTTGGCTTTAACACCAATCATGAATGTGGTTTTTTTTTCTGTCTGCTGTACTGACTTATTGTGATTGTGTTGAAGGTGACATTGTGGAAGGAGTCAATGGACGGTCAGTGGGCGTGTATCAGCGATGTCAGCAAGGGGCAGGGCGCCGTCTCCTCCATCACAGAGACACAGCAGAGCGAGCAGTGACATTTTCATTGCTTGTGTGTGTGTCAGTGTGATACACGCACAAAGAAATGACGACACGAGACGCCGACCTTAACCACCGACATCGAAAAAGCTTCTTTTGTCCAGTTTTGTTTTGTTTTATTTAATGAAACACCAAGAGTTGTAAGTGAGTCCAGCTGCTGGACTGGCGTTCTCTTTCTGTACAGAATTTCTACTCACAGATTCACCAGGAGAGAAACAATCACAGATCCACGATGGAGAGTCTTTTTAAAGTTAATAAGACTGTTAATTACTTTAACACATAGTTTTCTTAATCACATGCACTCCACTGTGTCTTGTTCCCCATCAGTTTCTTCATGTATATCAAGACTATCCAAATATATTTAAGATGCATCTTTTAAAACCCCATTGTCCTTTTCCCACAATGCTCTGCTCCTGAAACATTCCACTTTTACAGGCAGAGAAACAAAACCTTAAAATGTCTCCCCCTAAATCACAGCACCAACCTGATTCTCTCAGTTCTTTGTGTTTATAGATTTACTAATTAAAAAACAAACAACTTTGTTTAGGGTAGAAAATAATCCCCACTTCCAGCTTGTCATTCATGTCTGAATTATTGAGCATGTCATGTGCGGAGCATAAGCAGCTTCACTGTTCTGACTGTAAACAGATGTTCATTTTGTCACGGTGAGATGAATCATTGCCAAAAATGTAATTACTGATGAGCTGATTTCAGCCCAGAACTCTGAAACAATAAGAACAAACAGAATAAATGATTTATACGGAAAAGTATGGATGAGTATTATTCTGTCTTTCTGTCTTTGTTTGATGTCAAAGCTCAAACATTAGCAGGTGTTTGGAAACTCAGCAGCACTCTGACTAAATCAGTTGTTCATACCATCATGGTGTTAAGGGGTCGTTTATCCGAGCAGCAATGCTTGCTGTCTGGAAAAAAAGGTAATACTGGAAGTAGTTTCTCCAGTGTCCACGCATGTCCTGCTCCAAAAGCAAAGAAAACACATTTTTACAGAAAAAAATGATAACCTGGTGCAAAAAACAGTGTTTTCTCTGTAATTGTGAGTGGTGCCCTGATTAAAAATGCAAAAATATGAATTTGATTAATTTTAAATATTTATGTCTGACATTTACTAGAAGTTCAGACTGTTATAATTCAGCCTGTTTTTTTTTTCTGTCCCTGGTGGCTTTTGCACAGAGTTAAGCTGAGGTTAAACTTCAGGCCTGAGTAAAATATGTGTTTTATGAGTTGTAAAATCAATGTCTCACAAGAAAAAAGTAGTGGTAATATCTTTCTCTTTTATCAGAAAACAGTCAAAGTAAACCATTTTTTATACAAATATAGTAATTTCAGATTTTTTCAGGATTTGTGTTTTTTTTAGAGAATAAAATGGAAGTAAAGCCTTTTTTAATTTTTATTGACCAGAATAAAGTCATGTTTAAGTCATTTTTGATAAAAGTTGTAAGACATAAAGTTGTTATGCTACTTCATGAGATTAAAATCACTGCTACAAAATCAAAGTTGTTGTAAAGTCATTAACTTGCGAGTTGAAGTCATTGTTTTGCAACAATACAGTCAACGTGTCCTCAGAGTGAAGTGGTGATAAAGGGAGAGTTTTGGTTCATGGTGAGTGGTCAGCTGTCTGAACCAAATGAGGATCATCTGTTTAAATTGTCCCTAATATTTTGTCTCCTCAGCTTCACATTGCTTTATTCTTGTATTTGAATGTGGTCCTTATTCTCAGTGGTTTGATATAAACATGTGAAAGTAGAGAAAACGTATCACTTTATAAACGAATGCTAGAATGTTTGAGTCGATAATCTGTTCACACATTTGTACCAAAACTGAACCCTCTAGTGGATTTTACAGCACATGAAGTTTATCTCCCACAGGAGCATCGACGAGGACACATCCATGTGTGTTTCCCCCCACTGAGAACACGGCTGTGTACCGCTGAGATGTGCTGTATTATTTTGAGTCAGACAAGAAAGGATTGATCTGCTGCTGTGACTCACTGTTTTTGTTTCCTATGTGGTTTTCAAGGAAACATGATGGTTTCAAGGTTCAGAGGCCAATAATACATACTCTTCCTCATTAGATACCAGTCATTTGACCACTGTATGATCTTAAGGTCTTATTATCACGTAGAATAGTTCAGAATTCTTCAAATGATAATCCCTGATGTTCAGACTGTAACAAAACCGTTTTATTTTTATTATGGGTTGAGGTTCCTGTTTCCCAGAGCGATCGTGAAAATACCAGGAAGTGTGTCCATGTGTTTGATCAACTAGGAAATGATGAAGCAACTTAGATTTCAAATTCTGGCCAAGTTGGACAGTTTCTTCCCGCCTTTTTTTAATCCACCTTTTTTTAACCCGCCTTTTTTTAACCCGCCTTTTTTTTTTTTTTATCAACCCTGAATCACTGTCAATCCAGCGCTCTTGTTGAACAGTCCCAGCACTTGAATCTTATGAAAATATTCTACAATTAACTTATCTCTGACTTATATACAGTAATGAATGAAATTAAACAGGTCAACTTTACATAAATCCTAAACAGGGCTGTCTGTTACTGTCACTGCCGGCTTATTTCTCAATCATAAGTTTTGTGCACTTTAAAAGCTGCAACAGTCTCTGTTAACAGTGAAAAAATCATGATGAAGATTAACACGTTCAGGGGTGGTATCTTCATTATTCCCGATGAGTCATCTCATTGTGTCTGTTTGAGCGCCAGTTTTTGGCGGTCAGAAAAGCTTCCTGTCCCTCTCTGAGTCAGTCTGACTTTACTTCTGTAGATCAAGTAACTGGGTTCAGCTGTGACTATTTTCATTCAGATCATCTGGTGAGTTTATTTTAAACTATCTCTTTAGCAGATGCTTAAAACATCGAATGTTACCTGCTTCTTCATCTTTATCTTTGTGGGATGCTGAGCTAAATGTGGCTGACCACCCAGAGGCTGCAAAACGGACAAAATGAACTTAAAAATCAACTAAATAAACAAAAATATACTGATTCTACTTAATATAAACTTGTTTTGGGGGATTACATATGTATGAATTTCCTAAATCTTTATTTATTCATTTATTTTACGTTTGAGATTAGATCTACTTTCTCATTCTTCTGTTTTAGACAGGTGTACAAGTGTTAAGTCTTCTATTTCTCTATTCTTTATCCGTGAGCATTAAGGGTGATATTCATAACATTCAGGTGTATTACAGAGACTTTTGCACTCATAATTTTGTACTCCATAGTGACGAGTTTACATATTTTTGGACTAACTAGCACTAACTAATTTTTATTTCTGTGTGCACAAATGAGCAAGGGACAAAATCTCTGATCTTTGATTTTTTATCTTTATTATTTGTCCCTGTCCTTGAGGGAGCTTTCCCAAAAGGATAAATGAAGTTTTATGTAATCTCATCTATCAAAATGTTACAATTTACTGGGTGAAGCCACCCCAAGAACAGCACCCTCTGGTGGTGGGCTGCAGTATAGGTCATAAATCCAGCCTCCTCCAACAATCCTTATGGAGCTGTGGACAAACTTTAGAAATTTATCACACAGAATATAAATTTTTCTCCCCCCTGCTTGCGATGTTGACATGTAGTTACTGTTAGACTGGTTTGTGCTCAAGTCCTCTTTTTTCTGTGCAGCTCAATTTATAAAAGTCAGTAGGGGGTTGATGTTTTCTATGATTGACACTTGATACAGTCTATGGACGTATGAAGAGTGTGTAGCTCACCTGGGGGATACGTTGTTTGAGCTGAGCGCCATCACTGAATGCGAACAACGCTGCTGCACAAGTGCTGGTTCCAGGAAGTGGAGAAAATCCCAGAAATACAGAGAGCTGTTCGGCTTCAAATTTGTTTGAAGGCGGAAGGCGGAGCCAAGTTGTCCGTGGTATATACGGTCAACGGTTAATACACTTGACTGTTAAACAGAACTGTATTTAACCAAACTATTAAGAACTGCAAACTATTCCTGTGATCTAAGGAGAAATATTTTAGCATGTTTACAACAAAGGACAATGAGTTTTGGCTCAGTGTTTCAATGACTCATAAACAGCTTCCTGTCTCACAGATCATGTACAGGTTGATCAAAGAGGGCAGGATTCAAATATGAGTCACTTTGGCGCTCATTGATTTGTTGCCATGACTGAAGTGGAAAAAAAGACTTTATTGCCAACCTCTGTTTCTGTTTTCAGCAAAATACCAAAATAAAACCAACTTGATATCTATTTTTGCATGCACAGAATACCTTTGTGGAACAACTGGAGCTCTTTTTACCTGGAAAACTTGTTCCAAATACCCCTGTATCTTTCAGGATGAAACAGACCTCTTTTCATACAATGATCAAGTCAACGTACTTTTTGCAGATCATCTTTTTTCAGTCGTTCCAGTTTTTTTTTGGCTGAATTCTCTGTTGATCATTTCACTGATGCTAAACCAAATCTGTGATCAAAGTGTTTAGCAAAGGGCTTGCTGTGTTGAGTGCAGCGTTAAAGAGCTGTTACCATGGCTTCAAACTTCATCAGTTTTTAACCTTTAAAATTATGTAATTTTATTTTTACAGTCAAAATGAAAATTGCTGCTTTTAACGTCCAGAGGCTGGGTAAGAAAAAACTTGATGACCCCGACACAAGAAGGATTCTCATGAAGGTAACTCAGAACTCATCTTTGACATCGATGTGCCGTCCACATTCAGCCAATCAGCACAATGCCTCATTATCATAGCAGCCTGCCCACTCAGATCACTTTATGGATGATGAGTTACAGTAGAAGAAGCTGAGAGGCTGCAGATCCTCTGCTGAAGTTGTGATGTTTTTTTTTTGTTTGCACCTCAACACTTTGTTCAAAAGACAAAAGCACTATTTGCACAGGATTAGTATATTATGTGGGGATGTTTGATAAATCATCAACTCATCACTTATGTCAGTGTTTAGTGTGGCGCCTTTGTAGACAAAGGAAGTCTGCTGACTTGAATTTTTTAATAAGATCACTGAGGTGCTTCACAACTTCCACCTTTTTTCTGTCGGCAAAACTGACCATTAACTTTACAATAAAATACAAAAAACGTACACTGTAATTCCACAATTAAAATTTGATTTTAAAAAAGATTTTGCCAAACAACTTAATTCCACCGTATGTGGAATTAACATGGAACATACAATTTCCATTGTATGTGTGTGTGTTGCAGATTGTGTCTCGCTACAGTGTGGTAGTGTTGCTGGAGGTCTTGGATCGAAGCAACATGGCCCTGGAAAGATTCTTGAAGGACCTCAACGACTATGGGTAACATTTCTGAATATGGACTAATACAAACTGCAGACATCATTACAGATACACACTTTGTATACATCCAGTCTGTGCGCTAAACACATGAGCACAAGAGGAACAAGGTGACTTATTTCAGGACCACTTTCATCAGAGATAATTACTTATTTTTACACAGTAAGTTGTATTTGCATGTGACTCTTCTGAGGGAACAGAGGCAGACCCTACGCCATGATGAAAAGTGGATTTCTGGGCCGCAGCTCCTACAGAGAGCAGTTTGTCTTCCTCTACAGGTATGAATGTTTCACTCTTTATGATAGCATGAAGAAACAGCCGTTCACAAAGTCAGACTCAGTTTCTAAATGAACTGTGCTTCAAAATGTCATGCTAATCTAAACATAAAGGCTTCACTACATTCAGTGTTTCTGTTTACCAAATAACCCAACATCCCCCTACTTTCTTCCAAGTGAGCTCCTTTTTTATTCCTGTTTCCGAACAACAACAACAACAAAAACCTCATAATGCTGAGATCAAAGCTAGCTCCTGCCTGACTGTCTTTAAATAGGCTGGCAATAACAGCCATTAACTCCCATCATTCAACCACCAGTTTTATGACGGAGTGATATCTAGCCTAGAGTATAAGATTATAGAGCTCTCTGTTCAGCATGGATCCATCTATTGTTAATTATGATAAATGCGATAAATATTAATGCATTTTATTTATACAGCCCTTTTCATGCCCTCAAAGACATTTTACAAGAAAAAAAAACATAGCAGTAAAAAGAAATATAAAAAAAAAAAAACAAGCACGGCCGTGTCAGACCTTTTTGAATGAGGAGTCCTGTATCCATGCCATTCATGAGAATGATCTTATCCGTGTCCATAGTGAAAACAACATAACAGTCTAGATGACAATTATCAGACTTGAGGCTATTTGGCCTGATTTTAAACAGCCATTATGTGTGTGTCAGATAAATCCCCAGCTTTACACCATTTACAAGCCTGTGCGCGCATAACTGCGCACACAGGAAACACATTTGGCACAGACACAGCAGAAGAAACAGAGGTGGGGCAGCAGGCAGATGCAACCGAAATGGGATCGTTAACGACCTCTGGCAGAGGAAACACATTTCCGCCGGCCAGATCGTTACCCAAAATAAATGAAATGCCACTAATCGGATACTGTGGGAGCACGGCAACTTTCACACGTCCCGACGCGAGCGGTGAATGCAAGTGAATCATGTGCAGTGGGGCGTTAAGTTCGCTCATTTTAATTCCCCACACTAACAAATCAGAAAAACACGAAGTTTCATTTGAGAGTGGCAGAACACTAGCCAGAATGAACGAATGATAGGCGGCTGTATCTCGGAGAATAGTTACCGGTACCGGAGAAGATGAGGATGAGGAATGCCTGTAGCCCTGCACATGGTGGCTGCCATCTTGGTTCCTCATAAAGCAGGTGTCAGCCAATCACTGTCCAGGACGTAGTCCAACCCACCAATGACCGCACGGCTGTGGCACATACCTATTTGCATAGGAGATTAAAAGAAAAAAACACAGGGCACACACACACACACACACAGCAGACACTCTACAAATTATGACCACAGTCATAACAGTGTGTGTGTGTGTGTGTGTGTGTGTGTGTGTGTGTGTGTGTGTGTGTGTGTGTGTGTGTGTGTGTGTGTGTGTGTCAGGAAGGATGAGGCCAGCGTGATCAAACGCTACCAGTATGAAGAAAGAGAAGACGAGGACAGGCTGGAGAGAGAGCCCTTCATCATCCGGCTCAAGTGTCAAAATACAGGTTCCACTTACATTTCTCTTGACTCTGATTGGTTAGCAACATTAACCCATTTAAACCAGGACAGCATGAATGCATTTCAACCCTCCAAGCCAGGAGGCGATATTTTTTTTTTGTAAGACGGTAGGGGAAAGTCCCACCTCCTTCACCTCTGATTGGCTAGAAAAGCTGGAAACGTCATCACACGCCCAAGCCGAGCATGGGCTGTCAGCTCTGTACATTGAACATAAGATTACAGAACATTATCACACCTCTGAATCTCTTGACCCTAACCCTCATCCTAATCCTAACCCTAACCCTCATCCTAACCTTAACCCTAACCCTAACCCTAACTCTAATCCGATAGATAATGACGCATCACAGCCATTAGGAATAACCAGTCAGAGCCCAGCACTTCTAGTCAATCAGAGACGAAGGAGGGTGGGACCTTCCCCGACTATCCTACAAAAAAAAATAAAAATCGCAGCTGGGAGCGGGGCTGCGCATTTCTACTTGGAAAGCCGGGAGAAGCATGTACGCATTTCAACTTTCCAAGCCGGCGGCGCCGCTGCGCATTTCTACCTTTTAAACAGGCAGCGCAGATACGTCATTTTGTCACGTTCTGTAGTTTTTCATTAATTTCTAAAATCGTGGCGAATCAAATCATCATTCCCGCCTGCCTCTGATAGGCTAATAAAGCTTAATAAAGCTCGGATCTTTCTACGTGCTCTACGTGTAGGCCTATGAAAAAGATGTTTGGTGGCTACTGCTATGGCTGGGACCCTATATGTACTGTTAATGAAGTTAGGTGCTGTTCTGAGCATTATTTCTGGCTAGAGTGGCTTTTTGGTTGAGCATGTGGCTCCTGAGACCGCTGTGTATTGCTATCATGCAGTCGTTAATAAAGTTGGTATAACTCGAGAAGCAAGCAGTGGGCAACATTCATCCCATGAGGAGGTGTTTAACTTGGTGTTACATTGTGTTTGGCCCCTAACTTAATTTACACCGGAATATCCCTTTAAGCATGTAAATCTTTAGTGCAGCCTGTACTATTCTGGTTTGAGAAATGCTGGAAGTTTGAGTTATTTCTCGTGAACTGTTTTGTTTTTCTATTTGGATAAAAGCTTCATTATTGTGTTAGGAATGTCTGTGGAGTTACCACAGGTACTCCTGCGAATCCCCTCTTTCTGTACTTCTTTTTTCCAATTCTGTTCAGATCTCCTCAAACCAGACCTTTTTGTGTTTTCAGTTATTAAGAACTTGGTGCTGATCCCGGTCCACACCAAACCCAGTGATGCTGAGATAGAGTTGGATGCTCTGGATGAAGTGGTTCAAGATGTGAGGAGGAGATGGAGAACTAACGTATGTAGGAATTAGGGCTGGGTTTCTCAAACTTGTTGGTTGTCTCAGTGGAATCTATTGATGGTGATGAAGTTTGTTTCTCTGCAGAACATCATGATTTTAGGTGATTTCAATGCTGATGGAACATTTCTTTCACAAAGAGGAATGAAAAACGTTCGAATCCGCTATCCCCCCTACCACTGGCTGATCGATGATGATGTGGACACTACAACAAGTGATACAACTGACCACACCTATGACAGGTATTCTGACTCACTGTCAGATCATTTAACCGGGAGGATTAAATACTTCTTCTCTAATGCCTCTTTAATAGCTTTATATGGTTTTAAGATCCAAAAAAGCCCCCCATTTCTCACTCACCCAGCCTACATCTAAAATGCTTTGTTTTAGTTGTTGTCTCTTTACACTTTCTGCTGACAGGATTGTGGTGTACGGGCGTGACATGCTCAGGGCTGTGGTGCAAGATTCAGCCCAGCCTTTCGACTTCCGGAGAGCTTACCACCTTAGTTGGGCTACTGTAAGATCACTGAAAAGACTTTTTCACACAAATCGAACACACTGGTTTTTACAGCAACAATAAAACTAACTGATTTCCTTTCAGACTCTCAAAGTCAGTGACCATTACCCATTACCCGGTGGAGGTGGAGCTTAAGGAAGATTAACATCATACCACAAGTCATGGTGACTCCAGTAAAGAGGACAGGTAAATAGAGTGTCTAGTTTTAAAGACGATAAAGAGGACCGCATAAGCAGCACCTGTATGCATTTTTGTGCTTTAATATTGTCAAAGTCTGACTATTTTGAACAATTTTTCTGTGTAAATAATTGTTAAGTCATAACTTGGTACACCATTTGACTTAAAGTTAAGTGAAAACAGCCTTGAAGCATGATCTATATTAAAAGTTTGAGAATTAAAAATTGTGTGTGTGTGTGTCCGTGTGTGTGTGTGTGTGTGTGTGTGTGTGTGTGTGTGTGTGTGTGTGTGTGTGTGCATTTTTCTCAGGGCTTCGAAAGAGGAAGGACGTCTAGACTCACAGAGCACCACACTGAAGTCATGACTTATTAACCCAAAATATTTTCAGCTTCATCTGATCTGAAATAAACTGATATCGAAATCCTGATTGTAGTCCTTTCCTGTTGTAAACAAAAGAAAGGTTTGAATAAGTCTTATTTCGTCATATTTACTCTACCAATTCTGAACAAAGGCAAAACAGAGGGAGGATAGCAGCAAAGCCAACGTATAAAGCAGGTGAAGCAGAAACAGAGTCATAAGCCTTTGCAAGGAGAGCAGCAGCGAAGACAAAAGTTCAGGCAGGATGAGCACTTGCAGACAGTGAGAACACTCATCAGTGACATTATATATGACCCTTGTTTAAAAAGCTGTGGTTGATGGGGATTGATCATTTAGTTTTGTGGAGGAACAGGGAAAAGTTGGCAGGATTAAGCAGTTGAAGAAAGATTTCCTTATTGAATGATCTGGGATAGACTGAGCTGTCAGCTGATATGAGCTGGTGAGGTACAATTACTCTGGGCAACATTACGTTTAAAAAGCTCAGAGCCTCTGTGGAGCTTCAATTAGAATCAAAAATGATTTATTCATAAAATGTGTAAGGGAAACATAAAATAAATAAAATACATACAGGGTGAATTACAACAACTATACCTGATCTCAGCCCACAGACTCATATGCTTCTTTTACACTGTGCATCAGTTTGGTAACTTCAAGCTAGTATGAGGAGTTTTTTTGCCCACAGTGAAACAGAAAGACTTCTTTCACTTTTGATAAAACCTCTCAGCTCTAATGTTCACATTTGATAGAGCTGCATGTCATCTGTCATCTGTGGTGGAGACTCAGCAGAGCTACGTGCACTTACTGATAAAAGCTGCACAAGTGTGTGTGTGTGTGTGTGTGTGTGTGTGTGTGTGTGTGTGTGTGTGTGTGTGTGTGTGTGTGTGTGTGTGTGTGTGTGTGTGTGTGTGTGCGTGTGTGTGTGTGTATGTGTGTGTGCGCGCGTCTGTTGTGTGGTTGTGGTTATCAGAGACACTTGCCTCACAGTTGCTGTTTTTTGAAGAGTCTCAGTCTTAGTTTGTCAGCCAGCGTGAGAAAGTAAGTGACCAGTAAGTTATTCTTTCCTTTATTTTCCTCCTTGTCCGTGACTCTCTTATGAAACCAAAAAATCTTGTGATTTTATTCTGAAGATGCAAACATGAAACCAGAGAAATGAATTGTTGATACAGGGTGGTGTTAAATAGGGATGAGTGCTAAGTCTGGGGTCTTTACCAAAACCATTAAGTGTTATAACATCATTGATTCTCATGCAAGTCATAGATTTCATTGATTTGTGGTATTTACATATTTATTTTCTGCTTAGGTGACAAAAGAATAAAACATTTTAGATATTTGCAGTTAAAATGAAGATAGCAGCTTTCAATGCGAAGAACCTGGGTTGGAAAAAAGTCACAGATGAGATGGTCGTCTACTACCTTACCAAGGTAACTTCTCTCTATTATGATTTTATCTGAGCAACAGCAATGATAATGACAATATATGAAGCATTTTAACAACATGCTGTGTTGCAGATCATGTGTCAGTACAGTGTAGTGGTGATTCTGGAGGTGATGGATAAGAGCGGGAAGGCCATGGAGAAGTTACTTCAGGAGCTCAACGGCACAGCGTGAGTCCTTAGCTCCAGGAAGTTTGTTGGAGATACCATTTTCAAAAGAGGGAAGAAACTTTTTAAAGTCTCTTCAACCTTTCCACATTACCCCCCCTTTAGCAATCAACCATTGTTCCTGTTTCACTGTGAAAAGAGGTCCAAAAAGGAATAATAATAATAATAATAATAATAATAATAATAATAATAATAATAATAATAATAATAATAATAATAATAATAATAATAATAATAATATTACAAAAAGCCTTAATTGTGTTTTCACTCCAATTATTAAATGACTAAATACTGCATTAGTCTCAGCTGCTGGTTGAAGAAACATACAAAAATTATAACATATTTGACAAAAAACCTCTCAAACCTATCAACTTAAATGTTAATGATGTTTCTTTGTTATAGTTCCAGCCAAAACCATCTTTACTCCATGACCACCAGCACCCAGCTAGGACGGGACACCTACAAGGAGCAGTATGTTTGTTTCTACAGGTAAGAGGGTCTCAAGTCCTGGTAAAACAAAAAACAAAAGAAAAAGAAAAACTGATTGCAGTGCTATTTTGCAACACAAAGGAAAGAGGAAGGAAAGCAGATATGAGCAATAAAAACCATAAACGACAGACCTTAGAGCAGAGATGGACAAATTACAGGAAACGACCTAAGCTAGTGTGAAAACTTTGCAGACTCTGTTGATGATTCTTCTTGAAGGCACCAACAGAGACTGCAGCGAGAAAACAGGCTGAGCAGTCTATGTTTTCACCAGGCTTGTTTCATCTAGGCTAAACACCAATAAAGCATCACTGTCTGAGTCTGGTACTTTCTCTCAGGAAGGATGAGGTGACCCTGAAAGCCTGTCACCAGTATGAGGATAATCAAATTGGAGACGTTGATGTCTTCGCCAGAGAGCCGTTCATCCTGCGCTTCAGCTGCCCAACTACAGGTCAGTGCTGCATGCTGTAGTTTTCTGTCAGTATGTGACCATTCCTGCTTCATGCTTCCTAACAGAGTACTTTCCCCTGTCCTGTTTGTAAAAGATAATCGGGCTCAGTAAAGGAGAGGATTTTCTAGAGGGAAAATGACTTCTGGTTGCTCTCTGAATGCCTCTCCAGTATAAAAACATGAAAAACAGGCCCTTCCAGTGGATTTACACTCTAAAAGTACTCTCTGCCTTCAAAAAATGAAACTTCCATCTATTCTGGATTCATCACATCTCAGTGGTTATGGCTCACAGCTCATGTAAATTAAAATCTCCAAACATTCGAAAACTACAAAACACCAAAAACAATATCAATAAGACAGAAATGTCGACCTTGAGGAAAATGATGTTAATTTATGCTCTCAGGTCTTGGTCATGTCTCCTTTAACATGAATTTCGGCATCAGTGCTTCGTGTCATGGAGGTGATCAGTCTGTATCTCTGCTGGGGTCTTATTGAAGTGCAGGTCTCCCTGATTTCTCCTTCAGCTGGTCTGTGTTGTTGCTCTGGAGTCTCTCATCGCTCTTGATGATACCCCAGAGATCCTCTATGGGGTTCAGGTCTGTAGGCTGGCTAATCAAACACAGTAATAGTTTTGGTGCTGTGGGCAGGTGCCAGATCCTTCCTAAAAAAGGAAATCTGGATCTCCCTAAAGCTTCTCAGCAGATGGAAGCATGAAGGTTTCTAAAACCTCCTGATAGACTTTAGGCTGTGTTGACTCTGGACTTGATAAAACACAGTACAGACCAATAGCAGCAGATGACATGGCACCTCAAATCATCACAGACTGTGGAAACTTCAACCTTGGATTCTGGACCACTCTGATCTTCCCCCAGACTCTGGGACCTTGATTTACAAATGAGGTCCTAAATCCTAGATCCATCAAAGAGCAGGACTTTAGACCGCTGGGCAACAGTCCAGATCTTTTTCTTCTTAGTCCAGGTTAGATTCTTTCCTTGACCCGTCTCTGTGTAGTGGCTCTTGGTGCTCTGACTCCAGCCTCAGTCTTTGGCTCCCCTAAATTCTTGAATCTGCTTTGTTTGATGATCTTCTCAAGGCTGGGCCCATCTCTGTTGCTTGGTCTCACTTTTCCCCAGTTAGATAACTCTCCATGAATCAAGACTGAAAGAACTGACAAGAAACTGAACTTCTTCACTGTATTCTGATGTTTTCAGGTTTTTGATTTTCATGAGCTGTAAGCTGTGATCATCACAGTTCAAACAAAAAGTCTTAAACATTTGGGGGGGAAATGAAGGGGTTGGAACCAGTCCTGATGACACCCGTGCACATGCGTGATAATTTCTGCATCTGTGATATCCAGTTGTGAAAGACTTGGTGCTGATTCCAGTCCACACCAAGCCTGAGGACTCAGAGAAGGAGCTGGATGAGCTACATGATGTGGTGGAAGCTGTCAGGAAGAAGTGGAGAACAAATGTAAGTTTGATTTGAGTCTCGTTTTTCACTTTATAATAACCTTGTTGGTTTAGGACACCTGCTGGAGGCTCCTCCTCCTCAACATAATCTCTGTAAGTAAACGGTCAAAATGGTCTATCTATAGCTATATATTTTTATCCTTAATGTAATCCAGGGTTAGAATAGTTTAAAAATGATCAAACATTGAAACATTCAGCTGACCTTTGTTTTCTTTTCTGCAGAAAATTATGATCTTAGGTGACTTTAACGCAGATGGACGTTATCTGTCCAATAAGAAGAAGAAAAAGATTCGGATCCACTCGTCTCCTTACCATTGGCTGATACATGATGACATCGACACAACAGCCAGTAACTGTAATGACCACACCTATGACAGGTCTGTCACATCACATCAGGACAGCTGGAGTTTTCTTTGATTCAGAGTAGTTTTATAAAGACTGCGATATATTTTACACCGACAGGATTGTGGTCTTCGGACAGACAATGTTGAAAGCTGTCGTCCCTGGTTCTGCAAAATCCTTCAACTTTCAGAAAGAGTTCAATCTGACTGATGAGGAGGTGAGACTCGTGTTTGGGTTCACCAGTACATCTTACACCTTTCAAACAGGAGCAGCAGTGTCATTGTTAAAATATGGCTTTATTTTATCCCCCAGACTCTCAGTATCAGTGATCATTACCCTGTGAGGTGGAGCAGAGAATAGGAACAGCTCAGCCGAGAACATCAAAAACACCAACCAAGAAGAGGAAAACAAATAAAGGTTTGTTTATAATCTTGTTCAATTCTTATCGGTTTCAAACTGAGATTTCTGCCTCTGAGAAAAGTCGATGTGAAATCTTTCATCCCTTTTTTAATCTGTAAAATGTGCGGTAAAAGCTGTTTAAATGTTAACAATCCAAAACCAAGAAAAATGATCCACAATTTCAAGATTTCATCTGCTCAGCAGTAAACACTCTGGATTTACATGAAGGCAGATGGATTTGGTTTAACCATGACATTTTCTGTTTCAGCTACTTACCTCAGTTTGTCTGTTTTCATGTGAATGAAACATGCACAGGACCCAAGAAGAATAAGAAAAAGAAGGAGAAAGAGCGAGATGGGAAACAGAAGAAGGGTAAGGCGACAAAAAGAACAAGTGGAGAGTCATCGCAGACACTTACAAAGAGGAGACGTTTGGACAAATGATCACCGAGGAACTTTGAAGTGTTGTTTATCCCTCAGTGTTTTTGAACATTTTTTAAATAAACTGAAATTTGATATTTGTTTTTGACACTGACATTGACATGGTTTAAAATAAATCAAAATAAAAAATATTTTTTTAAATTTTACATCTCCAAAACACAAAAAGCAGTGCATGGAGTTTCTAAGTAAAGCCTTGAGGATGTCTTCTTCCTGAAGTGGCAGCATACTGAAGTTAAAATGTTGTAGTGTTACTTTAACATAATGTGAGGAGGAATCCAAAAGTGATGTTGATCTAAGAACTTTTTAAAGAAGTATAAACATTTTTTTTTATTTTATTCTTAAACTAAAGTGATTATTCCTAATATTCCCCTGTAAATCAATTACATTTGTAGACATAAAGCCCTTATTTAATGAACATCCCGCTGTCTCCTCCATCACTAAGAAAGGTGAAAAATCCAGGGTGTTAATGACAGATGAGATACAAGAGTTACACGACATGGTGAATTAAAGTAACTTGTAGTGTGACCACCAGGGGGCTCTACAGCATTAGAACATGCTTGTCTGCATTCAGCTTCTGTTCAGTTTTAGAAAACGCTCTGTCAGGATTTTAAACCAGTCATGTCTTTTCATCACTTATATACACTGACCTCCATACTGACAGGTGCCTCACAGAGAAATGACCACAACTTTGCTTTACATATGTTGTCAAACTCAAGTGTGTCTCAGATTGTTCAACCTTTGGATCTCGTGTTGAAAAAATCACTCTTTTACTGTAAAATAAAAAATTGTTTTAATCTTTAATAATTGTGACATTGAAGAGACATTGTTATCAGCTAAAAGAGCAGCGCTCACAGTCTTTAACACTAACACACTACAAGATTATAGCTGCAAATTAGATTGCCTTGAATATTTCAACAAATGTTTAGCTGTGAAACTTGAAACACACGTATTTGTTCCTCAGAGGATGAACTCCAGCCAGCAACCTGTCAGAAACATTTCATCCCGCCTTCGAAACCACATGGTCAGTGGTGTGAATTCATTTACTGAATAGATCACTCTCCTGGCAAAAGCACAGACTGTATATAGAATGGACGTCGTCTGCCTCCAGCTAAATGAATGGAGCTGTAGACAAACCTCAAAAATTAAATCCAAGTTATATGAATGTTTCTCCCCCCTGCTTGCTATGTTGACATGTAGTTATTGTAAGACTAGTTTGTGCTCAAGTGCTTTTTTCTCTGTGCAGCTCCATTTTAGAAGTTATTAGGGGTTCATGTTTTCTATGACTGGCATTTGATAAAGTCAATGGGTGCAAGAAGACTGCATAGGACATCAGGGGGGTACACTGTTTGAGCAGAGCGTCATCAAATTGTTCTCCCAACGAGCACAACTGAGCAAATGCAGTCTCAGAAAATGGAGAAAATCCCGAAAATAAACAATGATGGGAGGCGGAGTCAAGTTGTCCATGAAGTATACAGTCTACAGGCAAAACCTTAAAGGAACATTCCGGCGTAAATTTAAGTTATGGTCAAACACACCTTAACACCAAGTTAGACACCCTGTCGAGAGATGAATGTTGCCGACTGCTTACTTCTCTAGTTATACCAACTTTAGCACTGACCGCGGGATAGTAATACACAGCTGTCTATGGAACCACACACAAACCTCAACCAAAACGCCACTCTAAAACCACAAATAATGTTCAGAACAGCACCTAACTTCATCAACAGTACAAATAGGGTCCCAGCCACAGCACTAGACACCAAACATCTTTGTAGCTTTGCCTGATTTCTTTAACAAAGAGACCAAACACAATTCACCCACTCTCTTTCAGCAGCCGCTTGTTTGTAGTCAATCGCAGAGTGCAGCGGATCATTTCCATGAAGTAATAATCACCATATTGATCATTTTGCACTGCAGACACAGCAGTTCTTATGCCTTAGCTTCTCAGTCTGATTGCATTTCCAAGTAATAAGCTTAAATGTTCTTCCTTGAGCTGCAAAACTCCGCTACACTCGGTGATCGACTTGTCAGGGAAGAACATTTGTGATTATTATTGACCCACTTTGGAGACCGTCTTTTTTTACATTTTTTACAGTAGGAAGATTTAGTCTCAAAAAGGCAAAGACAAGTCATGAACAATGATTATTATTAAATGTTTTAATGTAAAATCCCTTTTTTGTGTCTTTATCACAGACGTGGCTCTCACTTAAAATTGTACTCAACAGTTCAGGCAGTCCAGCTTTCAACCCTTTTTGTAAAACTCAAAACACATTTCAAGATAAGGTCTTGTAGGCAGCAGTCTAGTCTTACTCCTCCTCCACGATCCTAAGGTGTTCTCAGGCCAAGTGGGACAAAGGAATCCCCAAACCACTTACACAAACTCCTTTCAATGCCAATAGCAGCGGCTCTCCAAGCTTTAGGGTTCTTAGATCATGAGACCTGGATCAAATCAAGAACTGAAACCACTGAGTCATATTTCTTTGACTCTCATTCAGATGAATCGCGGATGTAATGGTTTGATTTCTATGGTTGTTTTTTCTTCCTCCTTCCACTCTTCTTTCAGTCTTATTAAAAAAACAGTCACATTCACAGCACATTTCCTCCTCTAAACACAAATTCGTAGAACATTTTATCTCTCTGGACACTCACAGACTGACTTTTCATAGAAATCTCAAAATTTTTCTGTGAAAGGTCACTTGGTGGTTTCGGCTCTTGACCTTCTCAGTCACAGGGTGATGTGGTCTGATTTCAGTTCTCTGTTTTTCATCTCTGGACTCATGAGACCTTTTCCAAATGTCATCTGACATATGAGAATAATGATGTGGACACAATCACACAAGATTCACTCTAACTGTATGTCAGTGTTTCCCTCTCTGAGATGAGTCAACTTCTCTTTTTGCTGTTCAGTACTTTCTGATTATTTGAGAGGTTTCCCCCTTTATTTTTTTATACATTTGGCCCAGAAAGATTTTTAAACATTTTTTTTTTAATCTAATGTTTATACTTGACATCATACTTGACATACTAAACATTCTAAATAAATTTTACATTTGACATAAGGATTGACAGTGATTAGGTTTTGATTTAAAGCTCTGGTGAGGAACTTTTTGTTTGGTCAACTTTGGCACCCCTCATAGACAAATCAGTCCTAGCTCATCTCGTCCTCTCCATACTTGAATACTGACTTTTGACAAATACCTTTGTCCTGATGAATTTTGAAATTCAAATGTTTTAATAAACATGAATATTTCATGTGGAAATTGTAAATCAGGGCTGTTTTTTAAGCGGCTAGGCTAGATTCACAGTTTGCATATGAGAGACTGTGTGTTCATCTTCACAGGTTACATTTATAATTGCACTTATCGTCATACAAAACAACAAAACAATGAAACAACGTGAGCAACATTTTTAGCTCAACACCTTCACAGAAACAATAAAACGTTACCTTTAAAGGGTGGAGTGATTAAAGTATAATTATCACTCATTAGTCAACACTGTGATTTCCCATCAGCTCTGATGCAACACTGTGATTTACAGGTGAAATTACAGATGGAGTGTCTGGATGTATCTTCACTCAGTCTAAAAAGATTCCTCTTTCAGAAGTGCACTCCTGAAAACTTCCAGAGAAGTAAAGTAAAATGACACCTGTGAAGTCAGATTGTTGTATTTACAACACAACTAACATGGAACATAGAATGTGATAACGTGAATTCTCCTGACTTTACTTCACTATTTTGTGATTTTTTTTTTCTCAGGTTCTGGCATGAAAAAGTCCAGATAAAGTCAGTTTGAAAGTTTTAGGATGTTTGCTCTGAGATTTACAGCATTTTCAGAAGATTTCAAGCAGTTTTCAGGTGTTATTTTACATGTGTAAAGAGGCTGAATAGAGCAACTAGCACTCAGTGTTGTCTTGCTTTCCATGCAGGTTTTACATGCCTGTGATTTCCTTTAGCTAAAAGATGAATACTATCGGTTGATGTTCATAGTTGTCAACTTGCCGAAGAAAAAAGCAACCTGCGCAAAATCTGTAGGGCCCAGGCCAGACACACCTATGAATTAGAAAAAAACTTCAAAATAATTGCATCATTTGCAGCCGTATGTTTCCCAAAAGCCTATCAGAAAGTGTTTTTTATTGTAATGGTGTCATGTGATGTCAACAGACTTGTACAACACCATGCCCCTCCCTTCATTTAGTCAAACCGCCAAATCATTCTTTAATCTGCCTTACTTTCCTTACAGAATAATGAAACCAAAGAAAAAGGCAGATTTCTATGCCACTCCAGTTTTTACCTCAGGCTTTGAGCTGGAGTTTGATCATCATAAATATGTTGTAAGAAGTTGGGTAGTAAACAAAACCTCAACAAAAGAAGAAAGAGTTGAAAAAAGTTTAAACTAACAGGCTAAAAAAATAGTTGATTGTTTAGGTAGGTGTACATGACATCATACATCAACTAGGAGATGGACAACTACTGATGAGCTTCAAGGTAGCTGTCGCCACCGATAAATCAATTTTTGTTTGGTGCCTAAAGTCTACAACAAATACAGTGGTCCAGTTTGATCACCTAACTGAGCTTTGATGGACTGGGTATGCAAGTGTTCTGAGTGACCATTAGCCTTTTCAGTGAACAGAATTTATCTTAATATTAAAGGTGACCCAGGGCACCTTCTTGTTACCAGGTGTGAATCAGGCATCTGTGAACAAAGAAGATAGGCTGAAGAAGAAGAAGAAGAAGAAGTAGCTGCTAGCAAGCTAAATGTGGTGTCTTTGTCAGAAGATGATTACAAACTGAAATTCAAAGATTTATTTTGAACCAAAAAACAATGTTGTGCCTCATGAAGTTATTCATCAATTCAACATATTAACTTTTTTACTGCTCGAATGACTGTTCTCATTCAGTAATGTAACTTAAAATAAAAGCACAGTTTGGCAATGTGGGAATGAAGCAAGCTAAACCCTTAAAGACAAAAATATCAAAACAAAAACACGGTTAGCAGCGTTTTTA